TATTACAAAATCATTTATTAGACATGTTTTGTTCCATTAAACATTCCCCCAAAAGTGTGTTTTCTATATGATGCATCCATTAGGGTCTCCTGCTATGTGGGGGATTTTTGGGGCGACAAGGTATTATTTTTGCAGGCCAGGTAGATGTGTAGAAAACTGAGAACTGACTGACTTCACACAGTTGGAGAAAATATGCTATATTAAAGCAGTAAGGCTTGTCAAGGAGATGAAAGAGCCCTGGTTTGTGTGTATTCAGCCAGTTACATAGTACAGCAAAAACCTCCAGGCGAACAGTTTCATTAAATATTAATTTGTGAAGCACTTCAAAGTTTAGGCTGAGGCATGCTTCTGTATAATACATGATATTATTTATCATCTAAAAAAGTTGTTTAGGATGCAATTAGGGAATAATCCTACAGCTCTCAGCAGTGATTCAATGGAATTCAAGGAGGTCTCACATCATTTAACACAGACAAACATACAGCAGAGGAAGGGCTTGCAAGTCTCTCTCCCTTTTAATTTGGCAGATCTGAGGGAAAAAAAAGTTGTGGGCTTTAAAGCATGGCCTTTGATTCATTTGCTTGAACATTTCAAGCTTATCAAAGTAGCTTTGCTCACAGTTAGGAGTTGTTTACACTCATCCATGGTGCGTGGAAAAATGGACAAATAGTAGCCTTCACAGCAACACTAGTTAGAAGGTTTTGCATAGGATGGGCAACAGCTCAGCCTTATTCTCCAGTCCCTTCCTTGCCCCTGAGCTGAAGCTGCTGTTGTTACATTAAGAGCTTGGAAGCAGCAAAAAGAACATCTTTCCAAGAAACAGATGACTGAGCGGGGGCTGTGCCTTCAGGGAAGATGACAGCATGGAAGCCAGCATGAAGCAGAGCACCTGTCCCCGTGCCCCCAGAGCTCCTCCTGCACAAGCTCTGGCTGGGCAGCACAGTCCAGCAATGCAGGACAGTGCCTACCTGCAAGGCAGCTGGTACCTTGGGATCAGCAAAGACCAAAACCTGTCTGCACCTACCCTCTGATTTTATAGGTATACCTGTCCCTCAGAACCAGTGAATCAGCACGAATAATAGTGAAACATTATTTCAACAGTAAAGACAAAAAGATGTAATTGTCTAAAATATATGGGACTATTCAGGGAAGTTATGATTTCACATAAAAGCTGAATTCATGAAATACACAGGAAATCAAACCAGCAGGTTCTATTTTCTTGTCATTTTTGTGAAGTATTTTAGAAAGCACTTAAGAGCATACTCTCTTCTATAAAGAATTACTTTACCTTCTACTCACTTACCAATATTCAGCTCAGTGCAGCATGCTATGCTGTACAGTTGCTTAGTGAATGTTCATACAAGAAGTCCTAAAAAGCACTATAATATCAAGAACTGCTTTGTAGGCCTATTTTCTGTAACAGCTGGATTGTTGTCCATGTTCACAAATTCCCTGCTGTAAAGCAACTATTTCAGAATCTCATCTAGCTCCTTTACCAGATCCACTACCAGGCCCCACTGAAAGAGGAAAAGAAGAGGAAATACACAGAAACATGAATAATTTGTTAATGAGAAGCAGTTACTGTGAAGCGAAGCTCTCACGTTGGTGCAACTGAAGAATTTTCCACCACACAGAAAGTTCTCATATTCTTTGCTATTGAAATGAAGCAAACCTCCATTGCTGACTATTAAAAAAACAGCTGAGGTAGGAGAGCCCAGCAGCACCACATCTAACACTGCTCCACAGCCAGCTCCAGCTGAGGTTAGGAGGAGTCTCTGGAGGCGATTTAGTCCTAGTCATCCCCATGGACACATACTGGTTTTGAAGACTCCACAGCAGCCTCTAGGGGCAACCTGCTCCACTGTCTGACCACCCTCATAGTAAAAGGTTTTTCTGATGTTTCAACATTCTCCTGTATTTCAATTTATGCCCATTGCCTCTCATCCTGCCACTAAGCAGCATCAAGAAGAGCCTGGCTGTGTTTAGACCCCCTTCCATCATGCATTTGTGTATTGGTAAGAATCCTCAGCATCCTCCAAGCAGAGCAGTTCCAGCTCAACCTCTGTAGAACAGATCCTCTACTTCCTACCATCACAGCCTTTTGGTGGCCTAGGTTCATTAAATCTGTGTCTCCCTTGTACCAAGGAAGCTCAGGTCTGAACACACCACTGCAGATCTGAGGAAAGGATCACCATCCCTGATGTGCCAGCAACACAGTTCCTAGTACAACGGGGAAGGCTGGCTGAAGGTCAGCTTGGCACCATGATTCCCACTGTATTTTCAAAACTCACCTTAACACAAGCTTCCCTTTTCCTGCTCAGCATGCAGGCATCACTCAGATTGCAGAGGCTTCTTCCACACCACACTCTCACTTCACCCTGCTCCACAACAGGGCTGGCAGGAGGCCCAGCACAGCCCATGACCAACTCAGCAGCAGGGAGAGGAAGCAAGCTTTTCAGTAGCCAGGAACAAGTTTAGCAAGTTCCAAGGACTAGCAAAGAAATATTTTTACAGTAAATGCTTTACTATGAAAACTTTCATAAAAGCATCTAAGTTGGAAGTGGTAGATGAAAAAATTGCCCAGTTTTTACACTACAGAAAGCAATTAAAGAGCACAAAAGAATACAACATTGGAAGTTCTCTACTTCCCCAGAGTCATGTAGTAACATGAATTGAACTACAGCACCCCAGCTGAACTTCCAGATTTATTAATGTATCACCATAGCCTGTAGAAAGATTATAGTCTTTTATTGAGTTATTGTTTTACAGATTCAGCTTTCAATAATAAAGTTCAATAAATTGATTCCCTAATCATAAAAACTCATTTTACACATTATGTACAGGTACCCAAACATGTCACAGCGATAGCACAGACCTTCACACAGAACAAGATGGGGAGAGGCGCTAAGGGCAAGGATGTACATTCAGAGATCAAGTCGTGGATATGCACAGTGCTTTTGGCACACCTCACTGAAGATTGCCCACACGGGGACAATAAAATAATCCCAACTAAGTGATAACATGAATTAGTTCAACTACATTAATTCCAGGAGGAACACTTAATTCACAATTAAACTGGCCATCAGAAGAGCTTTAAGTTGAATCAAATGCAGCTGAACTAATCATTTTAGTTTTATTAAGCAACCCTCAGTAGACAAATTGTAGGCCTTGAGATCTGTCTCCAGTATTAAACACATCTTTTTAGCTGAGATAGGCAGAAGTTTTGAGGACTGAGGGAACTCAGGTATGAGAAGTATTCTTTGGCAGTTTGATACAAATATAAAAAAATACATTGGTTTTGAGGGCTAAACTAAGCTTTTCCCATTACTGCCAGCACCAGAACTGCTTCAGTGACACAGTAACATACTGGAACGTAAACACAATCTTGCATTTTAATGAAACAAAATTCATACTACAGATGAACATCAGTACTCCAGATACTCTTCAACAGGCTACCCGGTCCCCACAAAAAAGCTGAACTTAACACTCAGTGAGAAAATTTGCCCATGTCAATGACAGGGCCCAGGAAACATTGCACAACTGTTCACCTTCTCTGCAATACAGGACCTGGCACACACGAGACAAGATAACAGTGTACTCTAAGTATTCCAGCTCCTATGGAAAGCTATTTTATGTCAAAACCCTTAGTTAATTTGTTGAATGTCCCTTGCTCTTTTCTGAGATAAAGTAGACCACAGGTCTCTTTCTGTAACTACAATCTAACCTTAGGATGACAAAAAACTGCAGCTAAGAGTTTATGCAACCTGCTTTATAACATTACATCGAGCAACAAGTTAAAATACACCATTTCACAATGAGGGAGACATTCGTTTAAAATCTGCCAATTCCCTTTTAAAAACAGTTTTCCCTTCTAGTGACATGGCTATCCAAAGGAGATAAAGCCAGGTTCAGTTTGGAGAGCAGGCAAAAGGGGAAACAGGAAACACTTCCAGAATGAAGTATTCGACAGTTCTGCAGCCTGCAAAGCAGAAGGCTGCAATATCAATGTTTGACTCCAGTAATACAGATCTAAAGATCTTGCTTGGTCCAAATGCAGCCATAAACTTGTAAATTTAAACTACTTCCAAAACAGGAATGTAACTCCAACAGGGCATTCCACGATGAAGACCATTTAGCCAGTATCTCTACTTAGTTATCTCAGTGCTGAAATACTGTAGGGCAGCTTCACTTCATCTTCCTTCTTTGTCTGCTTTGTCCCATTCAAACTTCTAATGCTCAGTTCAGAACAAATAAAAATAACAAGAAGCTTAAGCAGACTCCCTTGCTGGGCACACAAGTACAAGCAGCAAATCACATTTAGCTATGGAAGTTGACTCAGACCTTTTTCAAATCTTTCAGCAAATGATGCCAGAGCCTTTTCCTGCTTGCTACCTTGAGTGAGCACATTATGGGGAGAACAGGTATACAAACAATACATAGTACTGTTTATGCTTATTCCCAATGGAAAACTGACCTCATGCTGAGATGCTCCATTCACTCAGGGTTGTAGGAATACTTTCATTCCACCACCAAAAAAAAAAAAAAAAATCCAAAAACTGGATACTGCCGAATAGACTGCCGAATCCACTTGCCATAAAAGCATCCACCCCTTTTTATGGAATCTTCTCAGTATTTCTAGAACTTAACACCTACTGCTGGCTTAGTCATCCCAGCCAAGCTGCAGTCTCTATTTTCAGTTAACAAAACCAACTTCTCTAGAATTCACATATTACATAGTAAATATATCTGAAGATAAACCATTAGCTCTGAAATGCCTGACCATGAAGAATTAAGAAAAAAAGATCGGAGTTCCTTCTTGGTTAGCATGGACTTCTATTTACATTGTCCTGTAGATTTCACAACACTTAATTCCTGCATGTTCATTTTGACACTTGAATGTCAAAGTGAGGTCAATTCAGCTTTGCTTTTAGTAACTGTCTTTTTCAAACAGGAAATCTGTGAATTCCCCTCCCCATAGATTCTCACACATTCACACAGACTCTCTAGAAAGGTAAGACACTTTATTGAATTTTTTTGATAAATTAAGAAAGGACTATGAACCAGACTTATGGGTCACGGGTGCTTGTAAACAGACATCAGTTCCTTCCCACAGAAAGCTTGACTCCATGCACTCAGCCCGAAGTCACTTTCCCCAGCGTTGCTCACAGGCTGCGTAGTGATGGAGGGCAGAGAAAAAGTCTTCGTAGCTGATGTTTAGGTGGGAAGGCAAAGAACTGAGAAAGCAAGTTAGAAACATTAAAATAAGCTTTTATAAACACCACACTATTCATACAGCCACTCAGGAATATCACTAAAAGCCAGCTACAGTCTGAGTTCTGAACAACCTTGTGAAGTTGTTCTCAACATGGTTATCGTCACTCAACTCTAAACCAGTCACCCTCTACACCAAAGCCTCGCATTAGAGTATGCAGGGCCCTTCAAATCAGTGAAAAGCTGGGGGAAGCACAGTGTGCCCATATGTTTCAGTGTGCTATAAATGAGCTTGGATTTAAGATGTTCAACAAATTAGTCAGTTCAATTACTACTACAACTGAAAAGCAACCCATAGGTGCAATCTCCTTGTATTATTCCATTTCCCTTGTATCATTAGTTTCCCTGTTAGAAACCTATAAGCCACAGAAAATCAACACTAATATAAGGAACACTGTCAAATGGGACCGTACCACACACTAGGTGGTGACAGAAGTTGTTTCTTAAACCTGAGGCATGAAGCCTGCTGTTGCCTAGTTAGGGCTAAAAAACCAACAATGAATGTTTGACAAGTTTCATTCAATAATTTTAAAATATCCTCAAATCAATCTCCAGACACTTGTTTAGCTGGATCTCCTCTTTCGGCCAGTTCCATAGGTTACATCACAAAGATGTAACCCTGCCTTAGCTAGATATTTTTCATTCCGGTGTGTTTCACAACATTTATAAGCAACTCACATGATTTCTGTCAGTCTGATGTGCCACGGAAGGAATCCTAATGTGCTGTCCACAGGACCAAACTTCAAGACTAAATCAGGATCAGGAAATCCATTTGTACCTGTAATAACAAGTTACACAAGGTTTTATTAAATTCATCATAGGATTTGTTTTAGTTCTAAACCCTAAGGCATCTGCTTTTTCATTAAATGCCTTTTTTTTTTTTTTTAATGAAGGTCCCAAGGACAAGTTAACAATTAAAAGCCAAAAGGACAGACTGGTCTTGCAACACCTAAATGACCAACTGAGCAAAAGCTTAGGCAGCCACTGCAGGCCCAGCTGGACTGTTATTTTTATGTCAGGTAGTTTTCAAAGACTTTCTAGGGAAATGACAGGAACAGTTACATTATTTTGAATAACAGCAAACCCAAACAATGCTGTTTCATCTGACTTGTTCTAGTTTTGTCTTGGCAAACTCTATTTCAGTAGCACAGAACATGCTGACTTTACCTACCATAGTCCTTACTTAACTATACAGAGCTGCAATCGCGTATAGTAAAAGGACACAAAAAAAACCATAAGCAAGTTTCACTGAATAACACCTTGGTACTACAGACCATCAAGAAAAAAAAACCCCAACTTGTTAGATGACTTGTCTCTTTCTCAGTATGAGACCAGACAAATTTTAAAACCAACTTACTACAAAATTTCAAAGACACTGCTGCAGCTGGCATCTTTCTGGTTAGATAAGTAAACAAGAACAGGGCAGAGTGTCTTTTTCTGTTATTATGTGGACAACCTGACCCATTCTAGGGCAGAGCAAGATAATACTGATGAATTCCACTAAGTGCCCACACTCTTACTACCTATACCTTAAAACCCCAACCAGTCACTTCCCTCGTGAGAGCACCCTACTCATCTTCTGAGGCTGAAGACAATTAGTGACTAAACACCACTGCCTCCATCTCCTTTCCATATACTTCTTCAGTGCCTAAGCTACTCCAGGCTAAAACTGACAGACAGGAAATAGGCTTAGAATGAGCAGTCTGAGTCCAGCTTTCCCTGCTAATTCTAGTAAGTTGATTAGAACAACATGTGAAAACCAGAAGAGCACCCCAAGGGGACCCAAGAAGCTAAACTGTTCCTCTTGCACCTACCTAGCTCATCTGAAAAGCATTCCAGCAGTCATAACCCTATTTTGCTATAATGCTGCAATTAGTCATGATTATTGCAGGTAATTTGTTGTCACCTCTTCCACCATCCACCACTATTAGTTAAGTGCAAGAGTGCTTATACTGGGTGATGACTACCTTTAACAGATAAAAGTTTAATATAGCCTACTTGCTCCAAACTTTCGATGTTATTTCTCAACTCTTTCCTCATTTGCCTAAAAAAAAAAAAAACAACCCACTACACAAAAGCAGTCAAGAGCCTTTTACAGTTTTCAGATCAGTTGTAGCAATACTTCACGAATAACAGAAAAGGAAACTAAGGCCAGATTTTGCTCCACCCAGATTTTGAAACCGAAGCTGGACATTTTTCAAAAAGGTCACATCCTCCCTCCCCACTGAATCACCACAATATTGATGATACCTTTTATCACAGGTAAAGAAGCTATTTTCCCCAAGCACGTGCATTTTTAAAGAAGGATGAAGTTTTTAGACAGGAATGTCTTGTGCCACAGTCCAAATCTTATTGCAAAGTTAAGAAAAAAATTGCAAAGCAAAAGCCACTTCAGTGTTTAGAAACTAGCACGTTAGTATGAAAGAGCTTTGCAGGGAAGAAGTGAATACTTAGAAGTGGGGACTCTGGAGGAAGTGGACAACTTTACTCATTAGCTGATTCAGTAGCTGAGTATTCCTCAGCTGGTATAGCAGCAGGATTTTCAACATTGCAATGGTTTTTCAAACAGGAAAAGACCTTCAGAGAGCCCAGTTAATGCTAACATTTCTTTCTGGTTCCTATCTGAAGGAAAATGAAAATGCACACTTCATTATTACTGTCACAACAGCCTCCTAAAACACACAGTACTGTGCTTTCCAGTCTGCATCCATTTCTCTACCTAAACATAGCAGTGCTACAGATAATTTACATGTGGAAGCTCCCGCAGAGCTGCTAGAGTTACAGCAGTCAAGTGTAGCACACACAAGATACAAGTATTTGGGAGCAAACTTTAAAAAACAGAAGAGGCCAAAAGACTTGCACACTCAAAGGATGGCAATCTTGCAACATCCCTTCTAGGTCAGGAGTTCTGCAAGGGAAACATGAAGGAATTTTAGAGCTGGTAACTCTACCCTTCTCCCCATAGATCTTGCAGGCAACTTGAGTAGCCTTAATTGATAGTCATGTTCTTTGCTGGAAGGCAAACAGCAAGCAGAGACAATATTAAAATGCAGCTAGTGCCTACTTTTCTGAAAACAAGCTGGTTAGCTGAAGCATTGCTCAGAAGAAAGTACTCTTACACTGCAGAAAACTCAAGCGGTAAGAATTAAGTGCATGACTGAATTAAGGACAAGAAAAGCCACATGACAAGCTAGAATCATACCATTTTAGGACTAGGCTTCTATACTGCACCCTAAACATGAACAAAAAGTTTAAAAACTACATTAACAGGTATTTAAATCAAAATGTAAAACCCCAAAGATTTACAGAATACACCATTAATACAAACTCTAAGAATATAACAACTCAAGTATTGCTTTCCAGAACATGCTCTCAAATCAGTAATGCACAGATGCTTACTTTCAATACTGCTCCATTAAAAATGCACACAAACTAAATTTGCCTACAAGTAAAACAAATTTTAAAAAGCTGCTGCTAAATAAGTAATGAAAGAATACTTTACCTCCAACAATGTCCCAAACATTAAGTAAACAAATTAATACGGATCAGTTACAGATACTATCCTTAATTATTAGCCACATGCTTGAAGCAGCGTGTTTCAAGTTCATAGCTCTGACAAATTAGATTTCTCTTTCTGTGCTCAGCTAGCATGCAATACTTGAAAAAACACTTCAAAATCCACTCATTTTAAGATCGGACCTAATACTTTTAATATATCTAGACAGAAGGTCACCAACAAGTTTGAAAAGCTCCAGTCAAGTATCACTGGCCAAACTACACACAACAGGTAACAGCTGTCACTGGTTCTCCATTAAATTAGTAACTGTTCTGAAGGAGTGTTTGTCAATTTCCTTTAATTGCCTTTGGGGTATTACAGAAGAGATGCCTTAAGTTCTTCTTCAGGTGACTTATTAAATACATTTAATAGTTCCATTATAGGAGGATGCTGACAACAGGGATGGAATTCAGTTTTAAGTTAAAGTGGCCAAACTGCCATGGAAGTCTGTCTGCAGAACAATTCAGCTGATCACCCACATGAAAAAGAAGAAATCACTTTCTAAAGTCCAAGTAATGGGAACCTCACTACAACAACCTGCCCAAAGGCATCCAAGTTCAAGTGTGCAATCTGAAACCTGAACCCTGCCATGCTAATTACAGCTGCAATTAACATGCATGGATCACCTATGCAAGCTCAGCAACTCATTAAAACTGCATAGTACCACTGGAAAAGTGGATGATAATTCTAAACTTCTCCCAGGTGTGATATTAGGGCAGTCCTGCCCTTTTCATAGCTATTGCATGTAGCCACACATCTCAGTGCAGAGTCAGCAATCTGCATGAATTAGTAATGAAGACAACTAAGCTAGTGTGGGTTATAGAGCAGCAAGAGAACAGCAAGTACTCTATCATTTGCACTCATGATAGTAGTCAGGCAGCAAGAACAGCTCTAATCGCTGTAACCAGATCTGTAAAAGACTCTGCCCATCCATGTTTGCAGCTTCCAACTTGCAGGAAGTTAACCTAAATTAGAATAGTCTAATTTTAGGTCATTCCAAAGGTACTTGTTTTCAGAAAGCTCATTGCAGAACACACTACAGATGCTGTAAAGTCTGAATAGCCAAAATTCGGCAATTTATCTTAATACATCTGCTAAAGAATTTTTCTGCTTAACAAAACAGCTCAAAAGGCAATAAACGAGTAAGAATTTTTTAACAGAAGCCTAAAAGCAATGATCATAACTTAGACTAAGCATCAAGATGCATACATTCCAAGCAATGAATACACTAGTAACCAAATTGTTATGAATTGACTACTCTTTCCCCTCCGTATTATACTTACTACTTAATAAGTTGTCTAACATATTCACATCCAGGTCTGAATGTGTTCTTTGCTGCTGTGCTACCAACTGACAGAAGTTCTGAGCAGCTTTGACTATGTCTGCTTTTCCATCTTCCGGAGACAGCACCTTCAATGCAGATTGGCAATTTAAAACTGAAAGTACAAAACATAGTTTAAAAGCAACAGAAATATAATTGTTTTGCATGTGCTTTAGACAGTCACAGATACAGTTGAAAGTAACTTGTCGTTAATTCCTGTATTACAACTAGTCACAGATATACCTCATCTATCTCTTAGAGAAGTGGGCAAGAGATTTCTGGATTTGCTGTATTACTAAAACACAAGCTTAAGACAACTACTTTGAGAAGTCTTGTGAGAAGGGGTTTAATTCAGTCTTGAAACATAGTTTTCCAGGAAATTTGGATTGGTTCCTACGCTGTCAGGCAAAGCACTGAGAAGAAAGGCGCCTGGACAGTAACTTAAGGGATTCAGGGAAATTAAAAAATAAAAACCAACAAATTAATTTCTACCCTAGAAGAAGGTGCTTTTAACAGCTACTGTGTACATTCGTGTGACAAAATGATTAAGCTTGGGTGTTTCCCTCAATCTGATCACAGCATCTTGATGCAAGAGTTACAGTAAGGATCTAAGATTGCTACATTGAAATTTGGGACAAGATAATAGTCAAGAATTAATCCATTCACCTGTAATTATGTCTGTGACTTAAGAGGACATTTCACAACAATAACTATCTTAACCCCACACTTCTGAGAGGCAAGAGTCTCCTCATACTACATGACTTGCATCATTGTCAGTACTGGTAAGGTCCCTAAGCGGTGCCAAGGAAGCTGAAGGCCAGAGATGGTGCACTATACTGGCTTGAAGTTAAGTGGGTTTAAATACCAAAGTGTCAACATTTTGGGCTGATACCAAACTTAAGATAGTTACAAGCAGATACTTAAAAATAATATTTCTTAAATTGCAGAACCTGACTGTAAAGGACCACACAGCACAGTCAAGATTCATAAGAACACCTAAAATCCCTCAGCTCATCTATCCAAAACCACCGCAATGAAAATAATTGCTCCTTAATATTGCTTGATTGATGCAAATTAGCATCAATGTCCTGCATTAAAAATATTTAACAGTATCCCTAAATGTAATATATGCAATTTTGTTATTCAGAAGTGAAAAACTGCAGATGATAATAAATTGCATAAATGTCAGTTTGTTCAGTTGAAAACATGAAGCATCTGATCTGACTGTGAAGCCTCCTAAAAAAGAATGAAAAATTTAAAAAGGGAACAGAAAACACCTCTGCTTTTCACAGTTTCCAGCACAAAAGGTTGCTACGATTTGAACACACTCTTCCTATCAACAAGTCTGAGAAGTCTTTCAGTAGTTTGTTTGGTGTGAAAATAAATATCCCAACTTAGGTAAGTGTAGCTAAGTATGCTGGAGTTCAAGACATTAATAACCTGTCTACCCCATTTTCTGCTGGTTCAACCTTCACAGGAAGAAAAAAGAATAGCATGAAATTTGAGTTGTTCCACACAAATGCTAGTATCTTAGGCTAAGTTGTTCATAAGACAAGTTCAAGTTACAACACTATACTTTATACTGGAAAACTGGCACAATTTTGATATCCAGTTAGCACTCATGGGGGAGGTAAACCTTGCAAGCAGCATTTTCAACGCAGCAAAATGTACCACAACGTGTGCAGATTTTTCATAAGTCTTTGAACTATGATGATCTTAAAACATAAGGGTTGTTAGGTGTTTTTTTACAAGACCTACTTAAATATTATGAGTTGTAGTTAGGAGAGCTGTATCAGCCCATCTCTTTAAGCCAAAGGCCTGATTCAAGTATGTGCCTGCAATTCATTATATTTTGAACAGACTTCTAGCATTGGTCTTAGGCAGCAGATGAGTAAATTAGTCTTTGCAGCAGACACTGCTGTATAAGGAACATCCGCCTTGAAACCTACTCCTGTTTTCCACATCTAACTACGTGCAAAAGCTATTATTAATTATTACCAAACTTATTTTTTTCACTTCTGCCCTTTACCTTCCTGATGGCAATTTATTTTCCCATGACAACCAGCAGTCTTGCCTTTTCCCTTTCTCCTCCCCACTTTGAGGTGTATGTTTGGAAAGATGGAAGCACACACATGAAGCAAAAGGTCACTGTACATAGAAATGTGCTTAAGTAAAAGCCAATTTATGATTGATATACAGCTATTTAGAGGTATACCAAGCCCCACTTGTAGTTGATCTTACCTTGACCAGTTTTGTCGTGATTTGCAAATTCCACGGAGTACTTGGAACAATCTAGTCCCAAGAGTTCTTGCTGCTGTTTTAAAATTTCATCCATCAATCTTGCATTATTCCTCTTGAAAATACCTTTAAAAAAAAAGTTGCATATCAGCCAACTCCTATAAAGGGTGTTACAAAATAAATATGACACTAGGCAAGAAGAAAAAATTAGTCAGAACTGGTTTCAGACTGGAGTTCACAAGTGCGGGTAAGAATTCAAAGCAAACACTACTGCACATGACCAATTTGAGTGACCTTGGAAAAACAACTCTTGTGCTTTTGTTATTCTTTCACCCAGCCTGATTTAAGCAGCAAGTTGCAACTGCATAAGGGATAGCTTAATACTTATTTCATTGTCCTTAGTGTGCTAGAAATAGAGAAAGCAATAATCAGCAAAGAACAACCAAGTCAGATTAACACCAAATTTCTTTAAAGCCCACGCTGCTTAAGTCTGCTACTGCTTATTGCCACATCCCTAAGGCTGCAGGCTAACTAAGCAAGTCACCAGTAAATCAGCATTTCAGGTCTCAGTAATTGTCCACTCTTAATAGCATGGGTTTCCTAATAAGAGAATTTCACAAGCTGTATGTTTCATGCAATCTCCAAGGCCTTTTTATACTTACATATTTAAGGGAAACACACTTTGAATGCAGGAAATCACAAAAGCCTGCTTCAAACATACTTAGGTTCCTGTACTAAAATAAATTCTAGCTTTTGAGAAACATAGCTCAATTATTTCTAAATAAATGCCACAGCAAAACTTAATGTTACAGCTTAAATACTTACAATCCTGGCTGGCATATTCACTCAGGAACTGGATATGCTTTTATCATTGTATCACAGGGTATTCAGAGGTTTTTACTGAGCTTTGCACAGAATCCTTATGTCAAACACTTCTGTTAACCTGTCTAAAAATGCCCACACACTAATCTTACAATGTAGACAGTGCAAAAGAATGTAAGACATGAAATTTTATGATCAGGCTTAGGATTCAGCACCACAACCTGACTATAGGATATGGAACTGCTACAACAGTTCCCACATTGGTCAAACAGTATATAAGCACTATATTAAGATCATAATACACTAGAAGTTAGTTTGCAATATGAGGTGATACAATGTGTTCATTTAATATGCTAGCTTTTAGACCTAATGAATCAGAACTTTCCTACAGGCTTCATTAGAGGTTTTAATAGGTAGCAAAGTATCTATTTTTCCTCTCATCCAGGATACTTCCTGTAAAAAAAAAGATTTAATTACAGAAGTGCTAGTAATGCTTACAATTGATTTCACATGTTTGCAGAAAAGCAAGTTGTAGTAAGGCACAAACCTCTACAGCAAAAAGTGTGTTAGAATACTCCTGCTAAATTTAAACTCAAGTTAAATTGTTTCTTTTTGGGCTCCTGCTTTCTAGCATATACTTATATATAATAGAAATCGAGAATGCTGCTTTAAATAAAACTGTTTGATAGAACTCTACTTGGCTCAGCTTCATGATGGGGTTAGCACAAATTGTCTTTCTTACTCCCAAGGTCAGCAGCAGTGCAGCCACTGCAGTTGCTAATCCTGCACCCTCTTCAAGGAAGATCTGTACAAGGCCGCACATGCTTCACCTTTAGGAGTCGACTTCCATACACTTTTAAAGATGAGAAATAAAACTGTGTTCACTATCCAGACAAACATGTGACATAATTAGGAAAGGCTCCAAATCTGGGAAATAAGCTCCTGCTCTTCTTCCCCTTTCCCACCCAACACTAATGGTACCAAATCCTTTCTTGTGAAAGGTTTTCGTCTATTCCTGGCAGAGACTGGAAGAACTAATTTTAAACTTTACACTCCAGCTCTAAAGTAAATTACAACATTGAGGACAACAGGTAGAAGAACTGATCAAAGTGTTTGCTTCTCAGTAAAAAGAGACATCAAATAATGGAATTGGTCCAGCTCCAAAGTGAAGGTCCTTAACACACACAAAACAGAAGATTTGCTAAATAAATGTGTTCTTAAGATTTATCTGAGCATCACCCTTTTATTCTGTCTGTTTATCTCACCCACCCCCTCAGTTGATCAAACTTGGGAGTCACATGGCTCTTGGAATAGCAGTTTTATTGAACAGGAAGGTACTGTAGTTGTACCATGTAGCTGCAGTGTGCCTTCCTTGGAAAGGCCTCCATACCCAAATTCTCACTGATCCATCTACCTTGACACATACACAGTTTTCCTGAAGAGAAGATCCTGAAGCACAACAGAAGGTAGTAAAAATTCAGACTAACTCAGATCTTAATTAAAAACCAACAGCATTTGGGAATACTCCTTCAACATTTGTCTCTCAGTCCATGCACAAGAGACTTATGAATGCACATCACTGCAAACACAGTCCTGCCAAATGCAATATTCACAGGCCAAATTCATATTCAACTTCAAGAATTTTACAAGGTCATGACTCAGCTATATTCTCCTTTCCCTTACAGTATCTCAAAACCCCATTTATCTACAAGGTTCATTTTTTTAAAACTTTGTGAATGTACCCAAGTTAGTTTTGGGAGATGCTGTTGCTTAATTTAAACATGACAAATATAGCAAGTAAGTACATGAGTAGGCCAACTCAGTAGCAGAATTATGTATCTCTAAGCAATGAAACTTAACTCTTGGTTTACTGCTACCCTCCAATTTCATTCACAAAAAGTTAAGCTAGTCCATAATGTAATTTTAACATTATAAAAAATTTTGGTTTGACAACAGCTAATAAATTTTGGCAATACAACAGCTGTTTGCTGATAAACAAAAAAATGTGGCACTACTTATGTTTCTAATATGGAACACAAACATGAAATTGTCATTATTATTTTTCATCAGAAGAACTTCTGGGTTTGAAAAGCAGAAACACTTGGTTGGCCAGAACTCCGGAACCTTTGCAAGCTGGCACAAATGTGTATATTCTTGCAAATGAAGTGTTCTAAGAATTACATGTATTTAAGCACTAAAATTCCCAATGCAAAAGAATATCAAACTCTGTCCTGATTTGTTTCTTTTAACTACTGAGAACTTGTGAGCTGTTTTCAAGGATAATACTTGTTCTTACAACACAAACTGCAAGCATGCTGTTAGTCATTTGTTGCTATTAGAGCTGAGGCAAACCTTTTTTTTAAGCTTCCTGCAGTAGTCCTTCATAAAACAGGTCTTTTCCTGGGCACACACCTTTTGCTCAGATTTACAGCAGCTACAAGCCATGCCCCTTTGCTTGCAACCATAGTATTGCAATATTTTAGGGTTAGATATTGACAAATGAAGTCTGTAATTAAGAGGCTGCAAATTCATCAGGTATAGAAATTACAAGAATCTTGAACTGGAAGTGAAAAACTGGCACACAGAAACACCAAGTGATGTCAACCATTTGTTTGTCTGACTAGAATACCACAGCCACCTGTTAATGTCTTAATGGCATCTCAAAGTTCAACATTTTTCATTTTCCTACTTTTTAAAGCAGCAGAATCTGGTAAAACACAGTGTTGAGTTAGCTCTTCATTGCAAGGGAGCCCCTTACCAAAGTGGAGTCTAGCAAAGAACATATCTCCACAACATTTCAGTTATTTGCTTTCTCAACTTCTTTCCAGTGCTGACAAGGAAAGAGTAATCAAAAGTTGTAATTGTTATCAGGTATTAACATTTTGAGAACATAAAATAATAAACCACTTCAAAGAATGTACATGCAAGAAACCGTTTTAATACATATAACTTTTGCCTACATTCTGTTGGATCACACTCGTTGATAATGGAGGAAAGCATGGCCATTACACTGGACCTCACAGGATATGGAAAGCTACAAATACCTCCTTTATTCCAAGAGCCTAGGAAAAAAAGTACTCCAAGTCTGACTGTAGCTCAAGTAATTTAAATTTCAGTCAGATTAAAGCCACTTAAGACAGCATTAACCAATCAAAGAATTTGACTTAGAACTAAGAACTTCATAGGTTACCATTCCTCTCACATTTCTTCTAGGAGGGAGAATCTGCACTAAGAGAACAAGGGCTCATCAGCAATTCAGACAAAACATACCTCTTTCATATTTCCCATTCCTTTAAGGAGATCATCTGATACAGATTAGTGTTATCCCTTTTAATAAATGTGGTCTGAGAACTCCTCTCACTCGACACCAGAATACAACTGTTGAACGTGAAATTTCACATGGGTAAAGGCCCACGTGATAGTGGTATCTCATAAGTGTTCCAGCGACAAAAACCACAACATATTTATCTTGCCCAGCAAAATGAACTTACTACACACCCAGAAGATTTTATGGATTAAACAAATTAGCTAAACTACCAAGTAATCTCGAAGAGACAAGAAGCCTATTTTGGGGCTAATTAAATAATTTTTTTTTGCATATTCTATTCTTCCAAAGAGTTTTTAAGAAAGAAAAGTGGTCAGAAGCAAAACAGTTCACTAGAAAGCTAAACCTAGGATGAGTAACTCCAAATTTTCAATACAGTCACACTATGGCCTTTAACAAACCTTCAGCGTGAAGCATCTATCTAGGAGTCCAAAGTACCTAAATGCCAAGAGTCAGCAAGCTCCCAAAAAGCACTCCAGACTTGTCCCAAACTACAACAGGAAAACTGCACAGAAGTAACACTCAATCAAGCTCTCCCAAATGGCAAAACAACTACCAAAAGAAAGTTAAAGTATATAGCACTAGTAAAAGGCTTCTGCTCCCCAGAAGGTATTTTAAGTGCTATTACATGAAAGTATTATCAATGCCTTCTGACTGCAACAAGGCTGCAGTATTTCCTCAGATAAGGTCTTGACAAGTATGGCTGGATTTCTACCGAGAAATGACTGGCAATACAGAAGTCAACAGAAAAATTCTTGATCGAAAGCCTGGAACTTTAGTTTGCATTATTTAACTCATGTATGTACAGTAGCATTAAGTTTATTATGGCTTTGTCATGCTGCACAACAATGAAAATTGAGAGAAAAGGCTTTCACACACCAGGGGCAGTAAAGCCAGACCACCTTGGGCCTCCAAACATGCTGAGGCCACAGAGAAAGTCTCAGTTCTGAGCCCTGCACGACTCCAGCCAAGTTGCCTCTACAGTTACTGGTGCAGCTGCTGTAACAAAGCAGTGTGAGCTGGAATGCAGCTACTTATTTTGACAGTTAAGAATACATTAACAACCTTCTATTTCGCAATTTTGTAAAAAACACAGAAATTCATGATTATTAACAAATAAACAGCTTATTTAGCACTTCTTCTGTAAAGAACTTCATACTTCCCTTTCCTCCTATAGAAGAGGGAGTTGAGGACATATTTTGAATTTAATCCTTCTGCAGGATTACATTTCTTGCAGAGAAGGCAAACATGGAAGACCAAGCTTGTAAACAAGGTTTCCTGTTGCTATCAAAAGCATCTCAGTACTACAGATATGCAGTGAAGGAAAAGAAATAAATTAACGTATACCTCACCATGGCTAACACTGATCCAGAGCACTCATCATTAGTTTTCCTTCTCCACCACAGCCAGCACCAGTGAGGACTCTGACAAATCAATAGCTGGTACACTTGTATGAACACAAATCCTCAAAAGCAGCTCAGCAGTCCAAAAGCACTACTCACCATCTGAGTCGATAGAAAGAAGTGCACACTGTAATTAAGGGTCACCCTCTGCTACTGATAAGAGCATTTTTTACCTGACTGTATTCACCTTCACTATTATAAGTGTTAGTGCTGAGGGTTCCAGACTCGACCACCACTGAGCGCCGGATTTAGCAACAGCTGCAACATCCTACTTAATGACAAGTCTATCTGGAAATGCTGTATGCTCAATCAAGGCACCCTAAGGAGCTTAGCACCACAAGAAAGGCAGCATATGTGCTATGACCAGCAGTAAGCATGCACTAGAGCTGTATGAATGACTACTTGCTCACTCTCTGAAGCTGAAGTCAGTCTAAAAAGGTCTGCTGTGCACAAAGCAGTTGTGGCTGCTATCCTGAACAATCCACTGAACACCTGTGTGGAACATGATGTGTAATGGCAGGCTATTCTCATCTACCCTAGAAGTTTGGCAAAAGTCACAGATTTAAAACTTTTTTGTTGCTCTGCTTTCTTTGATTTTGCTCCAACAAACTGGAAATCAAGTTAGCAATTAAACTAGCATATTCTAGTATCAGAGGACCAACATAAAAATAAGCTACTGAAAAATACGTTTCGATACTGAAATCATGAGATAATAGCTATATTTTCAGATCTCAGAGCTAACAGCAAAACCTCTTAACCTCAAAAAATAATGTTTCAGACACTGCTACAGCTCTGGCTCCTTACTGCAAGGCAGGGCCTCAGCAACAGTGGCTACCTAAGCATTGGCTGATGCATTCTCCCTCCTCAGTGTTGCACAGTAAGCAAGATGAAAACCAAGATGACCAAGAAACACAATTCTCAGCTTGATCTGTTCCTCAGTTCCTCAGATCTGTTCCTTCAATTTGTAGAGCACAGTGCTGGAATCTAAAAAGGAACTAAGCACATACATAACATATTAGGCAATACTGCCCACAGCTTATTTGAGATTTGAAGTTAAAGATCCTGTACAATAAAAACATCTCTCTTCAACCTATGAGGGAAACTCTCTTCCTTGGTACTGTTTGCTCTGCAGCTTTACACCTGGTTGAATGCTTTACAAGTCGGGAGTAAAAGCTGTCAACATATAAATGACTTTTCAGAAGGTGCTCTTCTCTGTGTGCTTTAGATGTTATGCAAATATTTTATATCATTCTTTGATTTCCAAATGAGGGAGCGTTCTCCCTCTGAAATACAACAGAGTCAAGTTCCTCAACAGCCCTGCACAGACGGCCAGTTTAAACTGCTAGATGACTGCTATTGAGCCCAGTTTCTCATAATGACCCTAGAGTAATTTAGTGAAAGTCAAGTCTTCCAAGTCTTTAATCACATAGGAAGGATCAACCATGAAACAGAACTATAAATAGTGATGGTTTAAAACAAAGTAAAAATTGTTAAAAATCGCAAACACCTATGCTCAAGGAAAGGCCTACATGCCTCAGATGCTTTTGCACATTCAACAACAAAAGATTTCCCCTACTTATGTGGGATGCACTGCTGGACATTTCCTGAAAGAGCACTAGAAGACAACTGTACCTCTAACCTACACAGCTCACCTAAACTGCACGACATTGCTAAACAGCCATTTGAAGTTTTCCTCTGCAGGACAGAAACAGGACACTGTCCATGTCATGTACTGTTACCCCTTCTGAGTTGACAACTTATCCAGTACAGGTCAGAGATCATCTCTCAATAGCTGGACAGAAAGCTTCAACTAAGAGTATCTTGAATATGGCTGGTTTTAGCTCCCCACTAGGAAAGGACAGGTATGAGGAAGTCAGATTTGTTCCACTATTTCCTCACAGTATGTGAAATACAAACTCTGATCTTATCTTTATGATAGTAAGTGACATGGAATCAACATACCTGCAAGAGCCAGAGTTCAATGGTTTTACACCTGAGACTCAGTAATAAATAAAACCACACAGCAGATATGAAAAAACACCAGAGCTTCCAGAAGCACTGGCTCAGAGTTAACTCAAATGCCAAGCAGGACCAAATGCAGATCATGTAATTTACTTTCACAATACAGACAGCACAAAGGACATCCATGCTTGTTTAACTAGCAGGTTTAACTACTCGTCCATTCTGTTTCTTCAAATCGGAGTACTTGAAAATAGAAGTCTACTTTCATTCATTCGCTTCTGGAAGTTCAGCCCCAGCTCATGAACAGCACTCTTAAGAGCAGGTTTCCTAAAGCTCTTCCCTACAGTCCCTGCCCTACACTTTCACGCGTCAGCAGTTCCTGTCAGACCGAGGCTGTGGTCAAGGCTCTAGAAAGCAGGCAGGACTGGGTCTTCCCGACACACGAGCTGGACCAGAAGGGCACCTGGACCATTCCCCAGCCTCCCCGGGGCTAGGAGCTCTGCAGCGGCCAAGCAGCTCCAGCGAATGGGAAAGGAGCTGCCAGCAGAGAGACTGGACCGGACCTGGGAAAACCCCAGAACAGCGCGTCCCTCTGGCTCCACGCCGGAGGCGCTCCCAGGGCGGGCACCACCAGGGACTGGGACTCGGGGCAGCCCGGCCGCCGCTCACCGTTATGGTCGTAGACGCTGACGTAGGAGATGCCCACGGCCATGCACCACACGACCAGGCTGGCCATGTCGGCGTAGCTCGGCTCCTCCTCGGTCACCACCAGCCCCACGTGCACCGGCAGCTTCCTCAGGGCGCGCCCGTCCGCGCGCCACCGCTGCCGCCCGCGCGCCGCCGCTCCGCGCGCGGGGCCCCGCCGCCGCCAGGCCGCGCGCGCCTCGCGGAAGCCGAGCGCGCGGGCGGCGGGCGCCAGGAGCGCGCACGAGGTGGCGGCGGCGGCGGCCGCGCGGCCGCGCAGGCACGCGAGCAGCGCGCGCTGCAGGCAGAGCAAGGCGCGCAGCAGCGCGTGCAGCGCGCGCCACGCCAGACCGCCCGCCCCGCTCATGGGACCGACCGACAGGAGCGCGCGGGGGAGCGGCGGGGGAGCCTCAGCCGCTGCGCGCCGCCCGCCGCGCCATCCCCTCACGGAGCCCGCGTCCCCCGCCCGGCAACCGCCAGCGCCGCCATCTTCCCGCCGCCCCGCCTGATATTTCACCTCTCAACCCGCCACACGCCAGCCGCCCGTTGGCCGCCGGGCGGGATGGCGTCACTTCCGCCAGCGGAGCGCGAATGACGTGGCCGCGATTGAAGGGGAGGGCGGGGCCCGAGCAGGAGGCGGGGCTAGGAACGGCGCGGGGCGGGATCGCCCCACGGGAGGGGCGGCGCCGCGCCCCCTGGCGGCCGCTGCTGGCGATGGCCCTGCCGTGCCGGGGGCGGGAGCGGGGCGGGAGCGGGGCGGGAGCGGGGCGGGAGCGGGGCGGGAGCTGGCCCCGGCCGGGCTCTGCCCAACCTCCCCGCTGTTTCCCACTCTGCCCAACCTGTCTGCAGACCCTCCCTCTGCCCTTCCCAGCCTTGCGATCCCTGGCTCCCGCAGCGCCTCGTTCACGCTGGTGTGTGAAGCAGGGGTGGGGGGAGGAAGCATCTGGCCGCCACAGAAGCAGCCGGGCCTCAGGGCTGTCTGTACTGAAACGCGGGTTTCACCCTCCGAGCGCGCTGCGAATGCTCCGCGGGCGGTTCCGCAGGGCGGGCTGGGGAGGCGGGGGTAGCGCAGCCCCCGACCCGCGCACCCCGATCTGCTGCCTCCAGAAAAGCCCCGGCTCCCAGGCTTTTGCTGCCTCGGTTTATTAGGGCATAAGGGGCCGGAGTTGGAAACACCGCTGCAGGTGAAAGATGAAGCGAGAGCTAGTGCCAGCCCGATGCTGTCAGACAGATCGGAGGGCAGAGACGGCGCGGAGATATTTAAAGCACTCTGTTAAAAGAATCTGCCAATATAAAACTGAATGAAGAATTCTGTATTGCGAAAATATTTCTCTTACTCAGAAGATAACTTCTTTCCTGGTTTCTAATACAGACCAGCATTAGCCAGCAAAAATAACACAGTTAAACTGCAATGAAGGCTTGTGCTGTTACACAAATATCTAAATTTTTAGGTACCAAAAATTTGTGTGACTGACCATAGAATCATAGAATCATTAAGGCTGGAAAAGACCTGTAAGATCAACGCCCACTGTCAACCCAATACTGCCAAGTCCTCTGCTTAACCATATTGTTAAGTGCCATATCCACATCTTTTGAACATATCCAAGGTGGTGATTCCACCACTTCTCTGGGAAGTCTGTGCCAATGCTTGACAAGGCTTTTCCATGAAAAAAATTCTCATAATAACCAATTTAAACCTCCCTGGTGCAGCTTCAGGCCATCTCCTCTGGTCCTTTCACTTGTTTCCAGAACCTGACCCCAGTCTTGCTACTACTACTCCTGTGGGAGTGATCGGTCCCCCTGGAGCCTCTTCCAGGTTAAAGAACCACAGTTCCCTCAGCTCTTCCTCATAGCCTCTAGGCCCTTCATCAGCTCCATTTCCCTTCTCTGGACAGGCTCCAGCGCCTCAATGTCTTTCTTGTAGTGAAGGGCCCAAAAGTGAGCACAGCATTCAAGGTGTGGCCCCGCCAGTACAGAGGGGCACTCACTGCCCTGGTCCTGCTGGCCGCACCATTGCTGACACAGACCAGATGCATTGGCCTTCTTGGCCACCTGGGCACACACTGGCTCCTACCCAGCCAGCTGTTGACCAGAACCTCCAGGTCATTTTCTGCTTGGCAGCTTTCCAGACCCTCTGCCCCAGCCTGTAGAACTGGGGCGTTGTTGTGACCCCAGGGCAGGGCATGCCACTTGGCCTTGTTCAATCTCCCACAGCTGGCCTTAGCCCATTGATCCAACCTGTGCAGATCCCTCTGCAGAGTCTGATGATAAGGAAACATAAAGAAAAATGAGCTCCGGTGTTTCTGTTCCAATTGCATAGCGTAATGTGTTGGGGGACCTAAGAAATGCACATGTCAATCACATTTGCATAAGAGACATAACCAGATAGCTGCACTCTGACACCTGACAAATCAGCCTCCATGGAGATGAGTGATTACTCAGTTACTGAATGCTAATGGGAGATAAAAAATAATATAAACTGTTGGCTTTGAAAAGTAATTTGCTGATGTAATTACTCATCAGTTATCACCTGAGATCACGAACTAACAAGTGATTGTTTGCAAGTCACTGGTTTTAGTGGTCTCGCTAATCCACATTTGTTTAGTTTTCAAGCTCTTTAGGAACTGCTTGATAAAATTTGTACATATATCAGTTAATGCATTAATTATATAGCATTTAGTCATTTTTTGTGTGTATGTGCATAAAAGTCTGGAAAGTTCTGGCTAGTGAAGGGGGAAACTTGCAGTGTATACTTGCATGTTAAGTATACCTAACCTAAAAGTAATACCTAATCTAACCTATACTTAACCACATTAAGTATACCTAACCTGAGCTATATTGTAACAAATTACCTATTCAGATGCCAAAATAAACTCTTATAAAACCTTCAACTCACTTCATCTTATCCTAATATTTGCCAGGATTTATTTCCTGAGAATCTACCTTCTTTTGTTTACAACAGAATCAGGTCAGCTTGAACCCAGTGTTTTCATTCCTCACTATTACCTTCAGAACTACTATTAAATCTCATTAACAGGATACTAATTCTTCTGTTTATTTCACTTGCTGTGATGAAGATAAGCCTTCTGTGTTTTGCCTGCAACTCAGCTAATTTAGTCTAACCTCACTTAAAATAGTTTAAGATAAACAAAAAAAAAGGGAAAGTTTCAGGGAAACTGAAATCAATTTCTCAAAAGCAAGAATTTCTGAACAATCTCAAAAAACTGCTCACATCAGTATAACTCTCCAAGTCAGCCTGCAGATCCATGAGTTTAAATGTGTTGAATGCCAGACTACTAGTCATAAGTGTCTTGTGGTATTGCAGAATTTTATTTGTGGGGGTTTTATGCAACTATAAGAAATATTCTACTATAAAAAGGTTCATGCAGAGTAACAGATTGCTTTCCTAAGAGATAGTAATTGTATTCTTACTTCCCTCAAACTACATAGTATCAATGGTATAGAAAAACAATTTTTTTTTTTACAATATTTAATTCACAATGACAGCCTTCTGTAGCCCTTCTGTCACTGGCTATTATTTCTTGTAGTAGAACTAGAGCAGGAAAAGCTAATGACAGATGAGAAGACTGCTTGTCAGTAGAGACACTGGTGGCAGTGGGCAGCTCTAGACAACTTTAAGGTTCACTAAAGATAAACTGTGACATTAATCTAATTCATAATCATAGTAATCATCATCTGTGTTCACTCCAATGCTGGAAGCCTCATTGGGTTTCATTTTCTTTCTGTCCTCTTTGCCCCTTTCCGTAGAAGACAGATTGTCTTCGCACTGCTGCAGAATCTTTTTGGAAGACATCCAACTTTCTCCTCGGCTTTGTGCTGGCGCTGCACACTGCCCTCCCCAGACATCTGTCCCTTTGGCCACCAGAGCTCTCCTGGTTCTGAAAAGGTCACAGGTGCAGTTCCAAGGGTTTCCATCTAAATACAGATGACGAAGGCGAGGTAAATACTCCAACAGTTTGCGATCCAAGAGAGATAATTTGTTATTCCGTAAATTTAAAACCTGAAGCTGTTTCAAGTCCTTCAGCTCTTGTTCTCCAACATCCTCTATGTCATTTCCTTTTAGATCCAATCTAGCAAGGGTGTCTGGAAGTCTGAACAAAAATAAAACAATAGTGTTATGTTCATCATACTGTTTCTGTAAGTGATATTTGGTGGTGGGTATTTGTCCAGGCACATCTGATGTATTAAAATAAAGCTATCACAAAAACTTGCAATCTTCTGCAAAAACAGGTGTTCATATTGGGTTTGTTTGTTTGTTCTTTGTTTATATGTTATAGCTGTACTGTGTGTACACCCTTGAAATGTTTTCCCAAATTACTGCAGTTCTGACCTGTACTGACTGTCCATGCAGCTGAACTGAACAGCAGTCTTGTTCTGTATTATGAAGGAAATCAGCTGTATAATTGATTGTCAAGTTTAAAAATGTTTTTTGTACTCTTCAATGCCAATGACCAAACTATAGCACCATGAAAGATCAAAAGTTTAGACAATTATGGCAGCACTGGTCCTTCAACTACTTTTATATATGATTTGTTTAAAAACATTTTTTAGTTGATAAAGAATTAGACTTTTTCCATTTTTCCATTTTCTCCTGCTCCCATAAGACTCAAACATTAATCATCACAGCAGTAATCCATCTGATGATAAGCTGTTCAGCAACAGGGAAAATATAAATGCTTTTAGAATAGTACTTTTGAGACTTAGAAAAAGATGATACTCTCTGGATATGATACTGGACAGGTCAGTATAATTCTCATTTTCATATACATTACAAATTTATATGAAAATACCTTAATTTCAAAAGTCTTGCTCATTTATGATCTTTTCATTTCTCTCTGATATAGTTAATGACAAGTGCTTAACAGAAAAGCATAGGCATGGAATACCTGTAATAAGATTAATTTGAAAGTAACTTAAAATCACCTTACCACAGTAGTATGCAAGGTGATGAAATTAAGAGTCAAGGTTACAGATTTTAAGGAAACTTGACTGAACCACTCAGGGAAATGATTATCATATTACCAAGATCTATTTAGAATAGAACAGCAGTATACTACAACTGGTAAAGTTATGGGGTAGTCAGTGACCTTCACTCACTGTTTTTTGTGAAGCCAAGTTTGAACCTCTTAAGCTAAAAGATGGTTTCCAGATTCATGAAAACCTGACAAGTTCAATGTTACTATTTCAAGAGTAGGGCAGTTCTGTATTATGCTGTTTTTCCTGGGGAGATGAGAATTTCACATATTGATATGGTGATTCACTTCACAAAATCTGACCTTACCAAATGCTTATGACTGCAATAAATTGGTTTTGAAACAACTGCAGACAATTGCCCAATATGACACTGTAATGCCAGAAGGGTACTCTGGGGTAAAACCCTAGTGCCACTGATGTCAAAGGCAGTGGGAAATCACCCGAGAGGTTTTTCCAGACTGATTACAGTCCAAAGCCTGACCAGCATGTCCATGACTCTTCACCACCTGTGCAGAGTTTTATTGTACTAAGGTTAGACTTAAACTTTATGGCTACATTGTTTGACTTCAGGCTGTGTTGATCTAGAGAAAATAACGCCACTGAGTTCATGACTGAGTGCCCTGCAGCTGGAAGAGGAGTCGTGCTCACTTGGGAGCTGACCATAGCAGCCACACTGTGCTAGTCCCACTCTGAGGAATATCATCAGATTCTTCCATGTATTTTCACCACACCCTGTAGGATTTTATGAAGTACAGGTCTTCTCTAATAGTCCTGAAAATACTTGGACTTGTGGATTCTTTTCTTTTCGGAAAAGAAGGGAAAGGAGCTTTCTTTCTCCTCATTTCTGCAAAAAAACTGCTAAGACCTATTCACTTTAGCACATCAGTCATAGCTTTTAAAAGTATCTTACACCTGACAGAGTTCTCAGAAGTCTAATTTCTTTTTCTGTATATCTATGTGTACCTGGTCATCACCAGACAATTAAATTAAGTATGTAGGTTTTATTTCTTGTCATTTTTTCACCTCTCTTATGTTTACAGCTCTCCCTGGAAATCTGTATTTACTGTTGGTATGAAAGGTCCCCAATATCTCCTTAAAAGTCATACTGTTTAAAGGCTAGTAGAGAACTGCTTCCTGTTCATTCTCTTGACTACAAAGGTTGTAAAATAAGATGGATTAGACAATACTAAAGTAGCTACAAAGCATTAAACATTCCTGTCAAGCTAGACTGAAATCAAATATTTATACACCACTAAATCAGTTTCTGATAATAAAGCTGTTGCCAAATAGATTCAAATGCTAAAGGACACGATACAAAATTAATTGAAATTTTACTGCGTTATTTATTTAAGCTGGTTAAACCTGTCTACAAGCCATAAAAATAAAGTTTAACAGTCCAGTTTTGTTAAAGAAGTTTATGTTAATGGAATTACTTTACTATTTTTATGCCATCTTATTGCACAGCCTTTTGTAATAATAAAATCGCCACTTTATATCAGAACAGCCTCCATTTGGCTTAATATGCCATCTCTGATAATGGCCTGTTCCAACACTGAGATGAATGTAAGAGGTCCTCTAAGCAGAGCATTAATGAACACAATGTGCCCAGGGGATGTTTCTTCTGTGCTCTGTTGACTGGAATTTTTCTTATAGCCTGAAGCTGGAGACTTTAGATGCATTCCAAATACCTGGTAATGTGTGAATTTAATGAAGCTGGGAATGCAAATATCACTGAAAAAGCACTATTTTTTTTTATCATATTCAGCTTTCAAAATCTTAATATTTTAATAATTATTAACATGGTGTGGCTTGGTAGAAACATCAGCTTTAAAATTGCTGTCTATCCTTTATCAAATCCTCAATATCCTTTATCAAATGCTCAATTATTTTTCTTTTGTGGGGGAAGGTAAATCTAAGCAGCAGTATAACCTCGGTAAGTCTGTTGCATTCTCCTAGCAGGTTCTTCTTATTGGCGTGCTAATTAAATAAAGTGGTCTCACTGGCAGGGAGAGATGCAAAATGAGCAGATTCATTGGGGACCACAGATGTAATGAGTGCAGCTCTACTCTGAGACTGCTAACAGGAGTGCTAATTAGTGCTAGTTATGGCAATGGGTTTATGGTATGGACAGACTTCTACCGTGACTGGGTCTGAATACCAATTTTTGGCTCTCATAATGCAGGGAAGGAGAGATGACACCTTAGAACCAGCTGTCCTGAGATTCACTTGCCTCAGCGGAATAGAACTGAGGAGATTCTGTTCCAGTGCCAGATTGGAAAGCTGCACACACTGCTGGAGAGCTCCCGCCTCGAACGTGCTGACAGCATTGTTGTCGAGAAACAAATGCTTCAGGTTTTGGAGTCCTTGAAAGTCCTGTGCTGTCACCCTTTGGATCAGGTTATTGCTGCAGTCAAGTTTCTGCAGCCTGCCGGGCAGCCTAAGGGGCACAGTGTGGAGCTTGTTCTTAGAGAGCTCCAGTGTTGTTAAGTTAGGAAGAAGGTGGGCACCATCTATTGATGTCAGCTGATTTTCTGAGAGAAGGAACTCAGACAGATTTTCAAGGTGTTTCACATCTCGAAGCCTCACAATTTTAAGTTGGTTTTTCTCTAATTTTAGTGACAGCAGGGATTTAGGTAGGTCAAGAGGCACTTTTGTCAGAAAGTTACCACTTAAGCTGAGAAAATGTAGACTTTGGAAAGATGCAAAGAAATTGGTTGGGAACGAATTCAGTTTATTATCAGCCATGCTCAGATACTTCAGCCTAGGAAGCCTAAGTGGTGCAGATACAGATTCCATGTTATTGCCATCCAGGATCAGACTCTGTAAATTGTAAAGGGAAGAAAATGCACTCGGAGGCACAGTTGCAATCAAGTTGTTCCGAAGATCAAGCACCCTTAGTTTCATCAAGTCTGCAAAATCAGATGCATGCAGAGAATTGATGGAGTTATCAGCGAGTCTTAAAATTTCAAGGCCAGGTGGGAGAAAGGTGGGTATTTGCTTTAGCTGATTTTTGCAGAGTTCCAGGGACTTCAAGGTGCTCAGAGCTTTGAAAGTGTTGTTTTCTATTGATTCTATGCCACTGCATAATAGGACCAGCTCTTCAAGGACTGACATTCTCCTGAAGTCAGTAAACTTAAAGAGAAAAAAAAATTAATATGATAGTACATTTATAGATATCTTCACTGGTTACTACTTCTGCATGCTTGGACAATTGCTAGCATATGCTGAAAAACAATATATTTAGAAATATATATATATATATGAGAAACTAAAATAAGTGGTAACAGTAGAGGTTTTACTATTGGTACCTGTGGTTTGCCAGTATTTATTTACATTTCCAGAATTTTGTGGTTTAAGTGTATGATGTATCAGGTTTTGAACAAACATACACATTTGAAGAAGGAATACTCATTTTATTTCCTTCTGGTGGATAGCCTATATAAAATAGAAAGCTAACATCACCAGTGGCAGAAATCTTTGCAGAGAGTGGATGGTTGTTAATGTTCATTGTGCTCAATGGTGCTTGCTAGAGCACTTTTGAGTTCATAATACAGCCGTTTCCATGCATCAACAGTACTGTCACTGCAGCATGTATTCCCCAGAGGGAGTACAAATGGATATCTTTACCTCTTGCTACTGTTTTGGCAGAAAACTAAAATTCTACACTTTTCTCTCCCCCATTACCTTCTTTTAAAATAAAAACCTCACATATTAATACAATCAAACCAAAAGTGTCAGATCAGCCTGGCCTGAAAAATCACATCTGTGGAACAGAATATTTTCACAGAAACTTAGTTTTAATTAGTTGGTAATAAACAGATGCTTTGCAGTGGTAAATGGTACTTAGACATTGACTATGACTATAATATAGAGAGGCACACAATTGTTTCCTTATTTTTCTGCTCTGTTGGAAGGTGCTTGTTTACAAAGCTTGCCATCTTGTGTCTCACGTTAAGCAGCAAACCTAAGTGAATCTGGCAGCTTTCACTAAGCTGAGCTAGGAGGAAGTATGCGATGAGGGTGAGCTAGGGAGTTCTCCAACCACACCAGTTGCTAAAACATTGGTTTTCTGAAATGGTGAGATACGCTTCCCACTGACCTCATTGACTGAGTCTTAAAAAATCATTTATATGGGAATCCCCCCAGAAAAGCACAGGAGTGGTGGGAAGGAAAGTCATCTGTTTTCTCTTCCCATGCCCAAAAACATCTCACTACAGGTCTCAGAAATACCACACTAGTCAGAGATGCTAAAATAACAGTAGATTCTTGCTATTTCCCCCAGGGCTTAGTAGTTCCCAGCACATTTTACTCTCAGTGGGGGAAGCTACACAGCCTGTTCTATGGCACAACCCCTCATCCCAGTCAGGAATCTGCATCGAGGGCAGTACAAGTCCTTTTGCAGTACAGGTGCTGGGTAGTAATTTTGTTCCATAATCCTGGTTGGATACATTTGACTATCATACTTGTGTAAGTGAAATCAGTTCACAAAGGTGACTGTTAAAAGATGTCTTACAGCTTAATTTGTCCAACTCTTGCGTATTTTTGGGCTGTATCTCTTTATCTGAGCTACAAACTCATTTTAACTTCTGTTAAAATTAAAGCCAGCACAGCTGTGAAAGACGAGTCAGATTTCATTTTGCTGTGGTATCCTTAGTTTTTCTTTCCGATTAACTTTATTCTGTATTGCAAAGCAATTTCTGAATTGCAAATTTTGATGCAATTACTGAGAAAGTATAGATACGGCACCTCTATTGAAGCAGGTTTCTCCATAAATTATATTTAAATTAAATGAGGGGATCTTCCGCCATTAAAAATCTTATATTTTCAACAGTAAACAACAAAGTTGTCCAAATTATGTAATTTTATCTTTCTATAATGCAGTGTTTTGTGTATATGTAGCAATATCAGAACTGCTGATGTCCGGTTTTGGTCATGATTAGGAAGGTGATCTTGTACATAGGAATGAGCTGCATTGGTCAAGAGCACATAAACATAATCACATGTAATTATGAAACCATCTTATGGAAATTGAAACAATTATGAACCTTCACAATTCAACACATTTTCTCCTATAAAATACAAAAGTTATGTTTTCTGCTTTTCCTCTGTTGATTTCTTTATGTATCTGAGAGGCTTAATTTTCATCTTTTTAAGTGACAGAGAGATACATGAAGGGGAATATACAGACATTTGCTCTGTAATGATGTTAGGCTTCTTAATGTTGATTATTATAATTTCTGGTTTTCACCTATTTGGTATGCATTGCTAAGCTTTGTGACCACGCTGGCTTGAGACTTAAATATTTATCCATGCTTTTATAAACCACCCCGTCTTTCTAATATGAATCAAAACATATTTGAAAGCCCACCAGGTTATTTTTTTGCTAGGAAGCATTGTTTTATTCTCTAACTGGATTGCCTGTAAAATGATACTATTATAGCTTTATATTTTAAAACATTGATCTCCTGAAAGTGGATCTAATATGATGTTACTTAATACAAACATTTTAAGGAATTTGATGTTTCAATTACTTTTTTTTTTTTTTGGCTTTTGAGTTGCTGTGACTTGGGATATGTTATAAGCAGTTTTTTTAAAAACAGTTGCCTATGGTGGAGGCAAGGTAGATGATTTTCTTTTACCACATAAAACCCCACTTACTAGTATAGTTAAATATAAACGAAATTTTAAATTAAGAGTAAAAAAGTAATAGTTGATCATCAAGTCAAGGAGGAAGCAGAAAATATTGAAAAAAGATGCAAAAATTGATCTACTTTTGTTATTATAAAGCCTTTTAATAACAAACCTCAGGTTATAAAATTACCAAAAGCAAAAGTGCCAGCCACAGTTCTTAAAGCTGATCAGCCCTGTCAGAACAAATACAAAACTGACCAGGGTGAAAAAAAAAAAGATCTATTATTTTTCTTGTTTGTTTTTTTTTTTTTTTAACATACTGGATTTAGCATATAAACATATATTCTTTTTTAAAATATTATTTCTTCACAATTTTAATAATAATCAATGCAAATTAGGGTACAGAAATAACTGAAATAATATTTTTTTATTCTTCTGAGGCATCTAATTGCCAAACTGCAATATTTGTGAATGCTTACATATAAAAGTCTCTTGGAGGTCAGCTTTGGGAATTCTGGGCTTCCATTCAACTTCTTTAGGAAAGTATGTTATTTTCAGCCAAATGAATAAAAATTCTACACTAAAATCCTATAAAGTTATTTCAGTGCTTGCAGACACGTACTTTACAAGCAGAAATGTTTCCCTAAGCACTATAATATGTGCCAGTGGAATTGCTCAGCTGTGTAAAATTAAGTGTAGGTATTTATGATGTCAAAACTGACCTCAGAAGTATAATTTGTTGCATGGGGGAAAAAAATTAAAAAGTATATCCAAAGACCCAGTATAATCTCAAGGAAACAGCCTACATGACCACAAGGACACAGTGTGAAAGGACTTCTTTCCTTTTGGTGCAAAATCAGTAGTAGCAGTAAGGGAGACTCATAGCCAGTGGAATTATTGTACAAAGTGAAAAAGTCTCTTCTTAAATGGTTTCATACAGAATTTGTTTTGATGGGTCATAAAACATTTATCTCACTACTTCATTCACTCATATCCAACATTTTAATGCTTTATGGCATTTGTCTTATGCTCTAGTCAGAACTGAAGGCCACTTTACTTGTAACTAAGGAATTACTGGCAGGTAGAGACACCTAACCTAAGAAACAGAAAATGGCTCATCTTACTTATCTTGGAAAGAAAATAATGGGGAGGAGGAGGGAAGAGTTTGCACAGAAAAGTATTTGCTAATACAGAATTAATTTGACAAACCTTTTGTTTACCCTGAGTACAACTAAATCACACCAATGTTTGACTCTTGTGAGTGACATAAAACAAGAAAGCCAGAGATATTAGTAGCAGCTAAAAGAGAAAACTTTCTCAGAGGAAAACTGTACAGTCACTATTTGTCAGTGGGCAGCAGGCATTCTAGATGCTGCTCTAAGCTGCCTTCCAGCCTACTTGATTTAGTCCGGAGAGCAAAATTAAAGATGCATTTCAGAGCAGTTAATTTTTTTGTAAGAGAAAATGTATCTAATTTGAATTGCAAATTTCTTATTATTTGTAGTAAATTGATACACAGCAAGCATATGTAATACAGGTGGTTGTATTTCCCTTGTGTCTGTGTTTACAAGGTGAATTTATTAAAAAAACTTTTATTCCAAGGTAGGAAACAAAGAAGCATCATTCCAGGGTGCAGTGCAAGGTGAGCATAAGCTGATGCCTTTAATAAAGTGAACCAGTGCCTCAAGAAACCCAGAATAAACTTTTTCAATAGCACAAATAGCTAGCAGCTTTGGTTAGAAGCTGCTCTCATTTATGTGGGTTATTAGATAGGCCTGGCCTTGCTTTTAGAAACATCTCATGCTGTACCTTAGATTCAAACTTACTTCCTCTGTCATTTCTAATAGCAGTTGTACTTGACACTTGCAGCTCAAGAGGAGAAAAAGAGCTTCAATTTCATTCATTAGGGAAATTATTCTAATGACAAAAACCCTTTCATTTTACTGTGAAAAAGTATTATATTGTATCAAAAATAGAAAAAGCTTTTAACAAGTTAAAAAAATTACTGTGAAAGTCAATGGTTATTTGACCATATATAAAACAAGTCAACCTTTGGCTGCTAGTTGTAAAATACCATTTTTTTGAGTTTCATACAAGGTATCATTTTGACAGCATGAACTAGTGCTTGGAGACTGCAGGAACATGAAAACACTACAGGAATATATTTACATATCTTTAAAGAGTAAGTAAAAATAAAACCAGATCTGGCAGCACTTTGCCAGTTTTTAGAACATGGAATAAGATTCTCTCCTCACTAGATGCCACCATCATCTGTGAAGTCCAACTTTCAATTACTGTGCTCTACTAAAAGTACTTTTTCTGGGTTTTCTTACCTGGAGTTGCTTAATTTTGCTGTGGCTGATGTAGAGTCTCCTGGTGGTGAAAGGAATTTCTCTGGGGATCTCTGTAGCCCTGTAGCATTGCACTGACTGGGCAGGGTCACAGCTGCATCTTCTCGGGCAAGTGGTACTTAGAGCACTCTGAAAAGACAAGGCAACTAAAAAGTAAGACAAATACATCTTCCAAAACAGGAACTCTGGAATTGCCTCAGCAACATACAGGTTGAATTAAGCACCAAAGCCCTTTTATACCATGAAATCTGATAAAAGGATATTATGACTGTGTATTTTATCCCAGTGAAAAAACAGCAAAAACAATACTGTAATTTGCCTGGGTTAAAATGTTGGCAGGCATTACAAAGAGTGAGAAACTTAAACAGTGATAAGGTGCATTTACATTTGTAGGTATGCGAAATTAGTGTTATTTATTACCTGACAGCTAATCTGCAAACATCCATATTATCTTCAGTTTCCTAGTTTTGTTAAATGTGACACCATGGAATTAGTGGAGAAAAGATAAAGAGCTATTTTATAGTGGGGCTGTAAAACCTTTGTATCTTCTGTGACCTGGTATTAGAAATAGTAAAAACACAACTACAGTCAACACTGAAGCTTTTTTTGCTCTTCCTCTTGTGTTATTCAGACCACCACCTAAACCCTCAAAACTCAGGCCACTACTATTTTAAAGCTAAAGCATTCTATTAGTTTTCTTAATATCTGCGATACAGCTGAGTGCTGCTGATTGGACAAAAAATCACCTCTTCTTGTGTAATTCCCATAAATCAAAATTTAATTATCCTTGTATTTGAAAATTATAAATGGGAAATGCTTGAAAGCATTTAGTATAAATCAAGTGGTAGATAATCAATAAGACCTATTTACTCCATGACAGATGGAGAACAGAAAGATTTGCCCTAGAGTTTTCTCTCTGCTTATTAGTGCTTCTCTGACATATCTGCTAGCTGTGCCAGCTGGAGATGTAAAGTTTTGAAGGGCATATGGTTTTAGTTGTGATAATTTTCCTTTGCACTCAAGCAGTTTATAACATACAAAGCAGTGTGCTTCTGAAACCTTTGTATCTTATCACACTGCTTTGCCTTGCACTATGACACTTTACCTGCTTGCCTCCATCCTCTCCATCATATCTTGAGAACCAGGTAATCCTATTCCTGAAATGCAGACTAAGCTAGTTATTTTTCCAAGCAGAAGATAATGTCAAGTTGATTTGACAAATGGGTAACAGTTCTTGATGGGAATGCCTATTGGATGCAGCTGGGCTTACACTGGACAATTGCCATATTCCTTCCTGAAGATCCTTCTGTCTCCTTAATCCTCTACACTGTGAGTGCAGAACTGCAAGCCAGCATCTGCTAAACCAAGCAACAAGAGCAGAAACCTTTTCCAAAAGCAGCCTGTGAAATTGGCATGTTTAACAAGCTATGCAGAAAAATACTGCCTGACTTATGGCATAGTGATCACTTGAGCAAAAATGAGTGAGTGGGCAGGTTTAGCATTAAAAGAAGTGTTTTAATGTATCTCAGTCTAGGGTTTGATACTTGGCTTGTGGCTTTGACTTTCTTTTTTCCCCTACAAGAGTCAAAGTATTCAGAAAAAAAGTATAAATCCTTTCTGCATACTGACAGCTATTTGTGGTGTATTTCTTTTGTTCCATCTTCCCACTGATTTGGGTTTACATTTACAAAAGCAACTAAGACAGTAATGCTTAGCATCCTATGTAGGAATTTGTCTTGCTTAAAAATGTCATCAAAACCAACTGCTTTCTGCCCTGGAGGGTCAAAAGAAATGAAGATCCAGACCTATGGTTTGGTATTGAGAGTTCTACAGTACTGCAGTCAGTCTGCAAATCTCTATAAGAATCATAGATTGTATCCTTCCCTATTTTAAATTTTAGGTCAGTCAGCTGATGTCAGAATTCCCAACTGTTATTGCATAGATAGGTGCAATATTCTTGGTTCTTGGCATTTTTGTGCAGTCTCTATCCTTGGTCTTTTCAAACTAATGAAAGGAAACATTATTGATTTAATAGTTCATTTCCATTATATTTACATCAATGATTTAATCGAGAATGATGTTATGTATCCATTAATTTCTCATATATATCTGCTTTTGGCAGCTAGGTAATTAAAAGCAATAGCTATAAAAGATGATGTCCTATTAAACCTATTCTACACAAATTCTCACACCAGAGCTGATGACTTTGCTTTTGCATAAAATTATGACCCGTGGGCATTATATTCACTTTAAGAGACCTGATGGCAACAGAATAGACAGTATCAGGACTGTATGAGCATAAGCTTAGAAGGAAGATGTGGGCTATGCAATAATTAAAAAACAAGCAAACAAAAACCCAAACAAAAAACCCTAAAACAAAACAAAAAAAAACAAAACAAAGTGAACACCCCCCAAAAAAAGATTTATAAACATTCCAGAATCTCTGTACTGGCTGTAGCGCTGCTGGCCCATGAGTTGCACAACCTCACAGCGCACTATTAGGAAGATGAATCACTGCGGCCATTTCCTGCCAGCAGTTTTTATGCAAACTCTCCCCAGCTTTTGATGGGGATTCCTGTGCAGGACTAAAGGCATGATGTAGCACTCCATCACTTCTGTGTCAGAAAGATTGAACAATAGCAACCAAACCTGTCTGTGTGAGAAGTCCCAGGGATATCCTACACTGTGTGTGCTTTAACCAAAGGTAAACACTTCAGATCAAAACCTGCAAAATCCCAAGTCTGTGTCAGACATTGTCTTGTTGGTAGCTAATAAGGACATTGATTAAATGTATTAGACAAATTTGGATAAAGCACAAGCTTGATTTGCTGGAAATTAGATCTTTCAGGATTGCTGCTTTTATTTCAGATCTGAAGTAAGGCTCATAAAGGACTGTAAAGTTTAGTGGGCTTTCTCCCAATGTATCAGTTAGCCAAAGAAAAATATGCTATTTTTGTACAAGCCTTGCCTCACACAGTATTTAAACAGTATTACTGTATGGGCCTTTTCTTTCTTCATCAAAGTCACACGTTTGACAAAACCACACATATTTAGGTCAAGACATGAGTTTTTAACCTAAGATTTAGAAAATTAGATAAAAGTAAGATAACACTAAAACAGGAAGAATGAACCTGCAAAACTCTTGTTATGGAGTGTTTAGAAATGTCTGAAGAAAGCCCATAAACCTGCAGGTGGATCCCTTGTAATGTACCTGATGGCGCAGACCATGCAAAGGAAGATGCTGTCTTACCACAAACGACATGGAGAAGCTGAGCTCTTGCAGTTGGGGTGCCCTTTGCCTATGGAAAGGAAAAAATGCATCAGAAGACTGGCTCAGGGCTTGCACAGGGCACAGATAGGAGCTTGATCCCTGAGGAATGTCACAAGCAGAAGCAGTTTGGCAAGTAGGAACTGCTAAGTGATGGCGTATGCTCTAAACGATCCTTGGCATATTTAGGTGCCATATGCTATCAAGTGCTTGCCACTGAGTACATGTGAATTTATAATTATTTTTTTCTGGAGTTTTTAAATTTGGATTTGGACCAATTTTTCATAGGGACAGCAAATGGCATTTGTCTGCTGCAAAGGTTACTTCCAATCAAGCGCTTCTCTTCAGAGTGGAGCAGGCTGCTAAGGGAAACAATCATAACATGGTTGTTCAAAATGTTATGTGTCTCTTAATCATCTGTTGAAATATCCTGAAATGCTTTACAGAAATGTTTCCTAAACAAAGAGCTTCAGAGGTTACATTGAATCAAGAAAGTCAGCAAATGGATTATTGGCCAATTATTAAGACCTAATTAATATACAGGTTATAGATTTATAAAAAAATATTTTGTGTTTTAGTCCTACAAAGCAGAGATTCACAAAAACAATCAGAGACCTATCTGGAAAAAAAAATGTATTTTGATTTTCTTAAGCCAAGGATTTTGTGGAACTATTTTCATCCATTTTCATAGTATGTGGAGAAGGTGTGTTCTGACTCCAGGCAAGGTCATCTTCATACACTGGAAACAGCTGCTGGATAAGTTAAAGCAGATTTTTCTTCCACACAAAAAGGTGGATTTCCTTTTCTTCCTCCATGCTGTCAATATAGAGGAGATGCAAGTGATAACCCCTTAGGAATTTCTCACATTTCGCTTGTCCAGAGTACATTTGCATTCCAGAAGAACTAGCACAGTGAAATAGATTGAAAGGAATGAAATTTTGTTAAATGGAAATTCACATATTGAGGAGTTTTACTCATTGTCAGTTTTATGAGTGCTATGGGATTCTAGCCCAGATCACATGCATCTGGGGCAGGCACCCCACAAAAAACAACCCACCTGGAGGAGATCAATTTACATAATTTCATATACATATGCCACTAATGATGCTGTAACTGGCCTTCAAAGTATTATAGGCAATGGCATGCACTTGAAGGACGAATGTTTTTCATTCATTGAGCCACAGAGAGCTCTGCCCATGAAACAAGAGATTAGGGTATGGTATAAAGTTTCCTATTAATGACATTACAAGTAATTCCCAAAAAGGAATGAAAATGGGGGAAGTAAAGAGGGTAGATCTGATGGTCTTTTGTATGCAGTTATGTAAGATCCGTAATTAATGTATGTGAGATCATGTCTTGTGCAGTACCACCTAAAAGTAAAGTGGCAGGAAAGGATTATCCAGTCAATAAAGGAACCAAAAAAATCAATGGAACTTTGCTAGTCCTGTAGGAAGCAAGTTAGTTCTGGCCCTTCCATTTCCTGTGAATATCTTTAGCTTTTAAAGCAGCCTGCTTATAACTGAGCATCTAACATAATCAGAATGGAGCTAAAACTGTAAAAATTGTCTGCTGCTTAAACTGCGAGGCACAGGATTCTGAAACAGCAGTTTTCTAAATTATACACACTATGTGCATAGAAAGAAGGTTTTGTTCTTGCATGCCTTAAAACTGAACATTTTTGGCATGTCTTTTATTCATTTGTTAAAACAGAACAAAAATTCAGAATGAAAATAGCTAAGCATAAGTGTATACATAGAAATAAGCATGAGACTAAGATCACAATAGCACTCTAAAAAAGAAAAGCTGGTCTGAGAAGTGAATTGTGAGACCAATACAGAGTGAATATTCAGAATAGATGTCAGTAAACTGTTGCTCCCATGGATTCACCCATGGACTGTAA